CTGATAACATAATGCATATATATATATTTATTATTTTTATTATATTGACCTTTCACCCATGCCTGGCTAACAATACAGAATTTACAACAACGCAGCTCACATGCACTCATGTTACCATATCAAATAACTTAAAGGTGACCTTTGGTCTGTACAAAGTAACTTGTCTTGGCTGTGTTTTAGTCAACAAGTATTTTGTAAAATACAGTCACATTTCAATTATTATACATTATATATGTACATATATTATTGCTATTTTGAAATAAATTCTTAAAGTTATTTTTCCTAAAACAAATAACAGTAAATAAAGAAGTAAGGCAAACAATTATCCTAGTTACGACCTTTGAACTCGGTTGCTGTTTGATGTAAGGTGCTAAGCCTTTAAAAAGTTTGCATGTGGAGGATATGAAACACAATATCTTTTTTTTAGGTTTTACATATACATTTGAATAACTAAAAAAATCATAAATTACTACATCAATACCATAGAATTCTACTGTAATTCATCAAGCTTAGTAACTAAGCTTTATTTGGGTCTAAAAAAAATATGAAATATCGAGCAGACTAAAGACACAACCTACCTCATTGAAATCTTAGTTCAAAAGAAAGAAATGGCAGAAGGAACGTTAGAAAAGCTGAGAAAACCACTAGGGAACATTCTAAGCTTCTGATTGGTTATTCATGTCATATATATATAGAAGTAAGTGTTTATAAAGGAGCATTTCCAAAAATGGGAAGAGGTGATTGGAGTGCCACTGTGTTTGATTTATTACATGAGCAATATCATAGCAAAAAGAAAAGATAAGACCTTCTTATTTTATTTTCTAGCATGTCAATATTGGTAATTTGAGTTCCTAATTTGTATGAAACTACAGACTTAGTATTTCGACATCACAAACATCTAATTTGAACCAGTGCTGTGTTTAAGATACAAAAATCGATGTTTATCTGTGCTTTTTTAATATTTACTTTTAAATTAACAAATTAGATAATGTATAGTTCTAAAATTTGAATTATAATCTACAGTTTGATACCAAACTTATTGACATAAATTCATGAAATAGTAATTCAATAAAATTTTGAATAGAAGTCAACAAACAAGATGAGATGGCCTTTCACCTGTGACCCGTCTCAAAAGGGTTAATCAATTTTTTTTTGTGTGGCCTATACAAGCTTTACTGTTTCACAGTCTTATACATTTTACATCATTGCAATATATTTCTTGTACTGTATATAAATATGGCATTTTCAATATGCTTTGTAATACAAAATCCAGTCTTGAGTTCTAATACTGATGAAACACCTTACACACAGTAGCTAACAGAAAATATATTTTTTTTAATTTGTGCTATGCATTTAATAAACACCGTACAATTAAAAACACTACCTTTAACTGCTTGATGGATGGTGGCTTGAATCGTATTCTGAAATGTAATTTCCATTTTTTTCCTTTTGAACTGTCAATTCTTTTTGACAAACTTAACCACACTGCTTCCTGTGGACACCACAAGCTGAACAGATGCCTTCCCACAGGCCCAATGTGGCAAGCCTTAGCAGCATATATACACAAATCCTCAGCAATATAGATTTTATCTCCTGGGAGCAATAAGGGAGTTGTATAGGTATACAGATAAATTTCAACTCCACCTTCCATGTCTATCAATCAGCAAAAACCATTGGAAATTATTTCAATCTGTAAAAATGTATAGAATAAAAGAACTTGTAAACTGATGATACAAAAAGCTAGTGACAATATTTTTTTTATTAACCAAAGAACAGTATATGTATAGTGTTTGAAATAATGGTTTTCTTTTCTCTCATATAAAAGTACAAAAACTGCTGATTAACTTTGGGTATTGTCCAATTCGACCAAAAGTTATTTGACAATTTTTCTTATTAAAATAATGCTTTAATCATACGATAAAGGCAATAACAGGGATGTAATTTCAACATTATCAACAAAGTAACTTCAATATATTTAGTACAGTTGTAAACTACAGAGCATTAAACTTAAAAGACCAACTCAAGTACATATAACCAAGTTTTATATATATAGATACATACAGCATGTATTATAGATACAAATCTACTTCACATAGCATAAATCTTGCATACTGTTTTTAGTGGTACTGCTCTCAAAGATTATTTCTTTGAGCAGATAATGAAACAAAAATATCAACAGTATCTATTAAAAAGGAATATGCCAGCCACTAGGAGAAATTTTGGACACCAAATGTTGGAAACAGACAGAAAGAAAAGATTAATGCACATTGCACAGACTTGTAAAGTGCTACTGACAACAAACTGTGCCACAAGTGGCCATCCTTACACAGTAGTCAAGATTTAACTGTTGCCAGCCAAACCTTATGAAGAAACAAAAAGTATTGATGGAAAGCAAATTTTGAAGGGACGCAACAAGAGTTATCAATTGTGAATTGGGCACCTGAGTTACTTGGAGACACTGATCAAATGTGGAAAATTTATAAAGATTAATTTTTAAATATTCAAGATAAACATAAATGAGGTGGCTGCAAGTAAAAAACCAGGTTGGCTCACAAAGGATACAAGGGATAAAATTAAAGAAAAGCATCACACATTTAAGAAATATATATTAACTGGTATGATGAGAGACTCAGAAGATTACAGTAGATCAAAAAAGTTTGTCAAACTGAAAATTAGGACATCAAAAAGGATTTATGAAAAAAGCTTGGCTGAAAATGTAAAAATTAACAGTAAGGATTTCTTTAAATAAATTAAGGGTAAACAAAATGTTAGGATGGAGGTAGGACATTTGAGGGATGATAAATAAACACTTCTATAAGATGATTATGAGATGGCTGGGTTATTCTGCTTTTCTTCAGTTTCTACTAATAAAGATTTAACAATATTCTTCATCCTGAACAGTTACTAGATGAAGAAAAAATCAAACAAGATGATCACATTAATTCTGAACGTGTTAAGAAAAAATTGTGTATTAAAGAACGATAAAGCTCCTGGGCCAGATAATATTTACCCAAAGGTTTTGAAGGAGTTTAAGGATTGGATATGTGAGCCAATTGGTAAGATTTTTTTGTAAGTTCTTGAAAAGTAGATAGGTGCCAAAGGATGGAAAGTTGGCTAATGTTACTCCTCTTTTCAGGGGAGGTGATAAAAATTGTCCCAGTAATTATATGCCTATTAGTCTTACATCAGTTGTGTGAAATATTTTGGAAAGTCATTTAACAAAGTTTAGAATTTTACTGGATAGTCAATATGGTTTCACTAAGTGAAAATTTTGCCTTACAAATCTTTTGACATTCTTTGAAAAGGTTACTGCTTATGTATATGAGGGTAAGGGTGTAGATTTGGTGTATCTTGATTTTTGAAAACATTTGAGAAGGTGCCACATAAAAGGCTTCTAAAAAAACATTATCTCTTTAGGAGTGTGAGATAAGTTAGCTAACTGAATAAAATAGAAGAGCTGGATGGAAGAAAGCAGAGGGTTGTTATAAATTAGTCAAACTGGATTAATGTCACAAGTGGAGTACCTCAAGGCTCAGTCTTATGACCTTTGCTCTTTTGATTTACATTAATGACATAGATGGATGAATGGTTCAATAAATTACTTAAAATTGCCGAGGTCTTAGGTGTTTAGTAAGTTGGGCAAATAAATGGCAGGTGGGTTTTAATTATAATAAATGCAAGCTGATGCATGTGGGTTATCATAATTTGAATAATAAGTGTAATTTGGATGGGACTAACCTTAATAGTGTAATGAAACAAAGGAATCTTGGTGTAGTGGTTGATCAGTCTCTTAAGTCATCCAATCAGTGTGCTGTTGCTAGAAGTAGGGCAAATAGGATTTTAGGTTGCATCTTCAGAAATATTGAACACAAGTCTAAAGAGGTTATAATTTCATTGTATAGGTCACTAGTTAGGCCACATTTGGAGTACTGTGTTCATTCTTGGGCTCCTTACTTTGGGAAGGGCATTAAATTATTAGAAAGGGTTCAGAGGAGGGCTACCAAAATGTCCTGGGATGGAGGGGTTGTCATACTTTGAGAGGTTTAGGTCTCTGAAAGTTAACATTTTCCTAAACTGAAAATGTATTTCCAATAGATGCTTACCTTCTCTTACAAAAAGCTTTCTCAACTTGCACTGCTCTCTATAAATGCAATTATTTGCTTGCCACTTGCCTTGCTACTTCCACTTATTATTGCATACTAACATGCAAATGATAATGTAGCAAACCTCCACCAATAGGAGTGCAACACTACTCCTATCATAACTACCACCCTCTCTAATCATGCACATCAAGATTGATCATAGCTAACCAAACCAAATCACATCAAAAGTGGAGAGGATTGGGGGGGGGGGGTATTAGCAGATGTAAGTATCTATCAAAAATACATTTTCAATTTAGGAAGATGCTAACTTCTGATATAATATCTTCTCTCACAAAAAGCTAGAATCCCACATTGAACTGGTGGAGGGCCAGTGAGAATATTATGCACCTTTAGGAAGTGCTCAAAGGAAGGTGTGATAAGGAATTAAAAACAATACACCAGTGGGAGACCACACCACTTCTGAGCCAGGAATACTCTTTGCTCTTTAGTAATGTGTCACCAAAATGTAAAGAGTGGGAACTTGGAGGAGAACCAACAATATACACAAATGTAAAGTGATGTAGAGTGGCTAGGGTGCAACAGACCATAAATAGGAGTTCGACCTCAACCAATACCTGGCAGCATCTGGAATTGTACATCAGGTTCACAGCTGGAAGAGGGTCCTCTACTTTTCAACTCCAGCAGATGGTAGGAAGGAGAAGAGTGCAGGTGGATGTTCCTCTCAGGTCCAAAACCTGGTGGCATTGGGAATTTTTTCATTTATCTTGTGTTAGTAGGAGGGTACCCAGCCTTACACAATTGGGAGGTCATATGTCTCATCCTACTACAACCAACACCAGATCCACTGGAAATCATCATCCAGTGGAAAGCAGGAAGGGGAACCTCAAGTTTAGGATTGCATCTCCAGTCCAAAACCTGGCGGTATTGGGAATACATCATTCAGTCTGTGGTAGGAGGACTTATGTGGCTGGACCATCTCCAATGAACACCTGATCCCCAGAAACTGACATCTGGAGGATGGTAGGAAGGAGAGTGTCTCAGCCAGAAGGGCAACTGCAATATTTTTTGCAAAGTGCTACATCCAACACCTGGCAGCATCTGGAATTGTACATCAGGTCCACAGTACAAATGGTGTCATGGCATTGACACCGTCAGAATGCTACCGCTCTACTCTCAAACTGAGTGGTATTGAAATTGTGCAAAGACAATGGAGGACAGGTTTCCATAGTCCACCACCCCAGTGGCAAGGACTCCCAAGTGCCACCAGAAGGAGGAGAGAAAAAGTGCATTGGACAATCTGGAGGACTGCAGCACCAGAGACAGTGCACTGGGATACCACAATACCCTATTTTAAAAAGCAGAGGGATCACATCAACAGAGTGCATCATCTAATACCTGGTGGCATCTCGAGTCGGACATCAGGTCCAAGGTAGGAAGAACCTCAAATACCACGGATCATCACAGATGGGCAGTAATCTCTGTCTGTTTTACTCATGTTAGTCCATGACTGTATGGTCTGGAATGAACATACTTATGAAGCAAAAGCCATGAGGTGTACCTACAGCAGCCCTGTGGAACACCCCATCTCCACAGTGGGCATAATATGACCTGGATAAGAGTTATGACATTGTATTTTGAAAGCATAGAGAACATGTTGAAGGAGTCAATCAACTAACACCTGGCAGCCTCTGGAATGGTACATCAAGTTGACAGTACGAAGAGTCTCAGTCACAGTCATCTAGCAAGTTTATAGTTTGTACAGAGTGGATTTAAGACTAAGTATACTTGGTCAAGCAACACTCACCACACAATGGAATCCAAATATGTGATAAAGGCTTCTGCCAAAAAAAATGAACAAACAAACAGTTACAACACTGATGATGTCCAAGGAAAGATGGAAATGTGCAGCCAGGACATGTATGGTGATGGATATGATAGGAAGAAAACATAAAAAAGGCAACAATCATCGGGAGAAAGGGAAGAAAATGCAAGTTGAATTCAACTCAGAGGGGTAATGGGGAAAAGGCCACAGGAGAGGTGAGGATTTCACAGAAAGAACAATAGAATCAGGGGACCACAGAAGGGAGCAGTACATGTCAGATATCCTCAGAGAGCCCTGACTGGTCAAAAAAGGTGGGTGGAATCGGCAGATTCATAAAGGTGGAAAGGAAAGGGAATGGGATTGTGAAACAAAGTGAGAGATGAATGGAAGAAGAGGAACAGAAGTACTGAAACAACTTTCAGAACCCATGGATCAACCCCCAATGAAGGAGGCTGGCCACACAAACCCAGACCCTATAAGGGTGGTCAGAGTAAGACAAATACAGAAAAATGTAACCAAATTATAGGAGTCCGATCCCCACTAAAGTAAATTGGAATGATGATAATCAAAAGCATGATCACCCTCAGCACATGGGGATCGAGGCATAATGACCCCTAAATGCAAATTGCCCACAAGAAAAGTCTCACATAAACCCCAATATCCAGAGGAGGAGGAAACACTAAATAATAACTCGGAGGCTCATCCCCAAGAAGGGTAGTGTGGAACATAGGAAATAGGAGATAAGTACAGAACATAACATACTTG